CTTAGCAGACTTAGTTGTTGAGTAGAGAGTAGGCCAGCTCACTTTGAAGGGCTGCAGCAACTTTTCTTATTCTAAGCTTTTCCTAAAAACCTCTTTGCAGGGGAATCCTTCCAGTTTTCTTTTCTGACTTTTCTTTTTTGTGAATTGTAAAAGCAACTCAGAAGTCAGACCAGGAAGTCAAAAGTTCTGTTTATCCAAAGAACAGGTGAGGCTGAAGCTCACATCCACCTTCACAGCGTGTCCAAATCGTGACTACTTACAGGAGAAGGAAGGCTGGATTGTGATCTCAGACTTTTTTTTTACTTCTTTAGCATCATCTCTTGAAACAACTTGCTACAGTCTCAGTAAGTGCTGTGTCTTGCAGTCCTTTAGGGGCTATACAACTTTACGCTCCACTTGCAAATGAAATGAGATCACAAGTTCATTTTTCATCAGTCCACCAAGCCCCCTGCATATGGGATAGCAGAGATGGCCAGGCACAAAACAAATGTAGCAGATCTGCTGCAACTATAACACTGATTCATCCAGTGTTAAGAGTGGAGCTGTTTTGCTGCATGTGTATCATTTTCAGCTTGTACTCGCATAACAATTAGAAGATAACAGGTGCTTCCCGTTTGAAAGGAAAGGGCTCCAAATGTACATATGTTCATACCCATTGTAAGTCCTGTGTATACACTAGGCAAATAGTTCTCAACCTTTTTAGGTTACCTTTCAGAAAATACCAGCTTTTAACTTTGACTCTTTTTTTTGACTATGGAAGAAATAAGAGAAATTCTTCTGTGAAGATGCTATAAATTCCTATGTTTAACTTATGAATCATTTGTAGGTATTTGTACCCAGTGGTACCCTGTGTCATCCTAAAAAGGATCTTATGGCACTAGGCACTTCACATAAAGTAGTAGAGGTTTTCTTTTGGATCATGAGGCATCTTTTCATTCTCTTTGTGTACAGCATGTACTGCACTGGAATCCTGGTCCATGAATGAAGTGCCAAGGGGCATTGCAATCCTTAGGAACATATGGGATTCTCCATCACTTGCAGTCTTTAAGTCAAACCTGTGTGTCTTGCTGTGTTTCTGCTGACACCAAAGTTATAGTCTTGGTGTAGAAAGTGAGTGATGTTCCTTGGTTCTTGTTACGCAGGAGATCAAACTAGACAATCATGATTGTGTCTTCTGGCTTTAAAATCTGTGAGCCTGCGAGCACAATTTATTAATAGCAATGAGTATCTGCTGCAGAGAGCTTACACTATAACTGGAGACAAGGGTAGGAAAGTCCCATGTCAGGGGAATGTATTGGGGAGAGAGGCTGACAAGGATCATGAGTTTGCTTTGGTAGCTCAGCCGTCATCGTATTGCTGTTCTCTTTACAGGATGTTTTGTTTTGTGGCAATAGGAATATGAGTAGGGTTGATTTTTTGCTTGTGTGGTGACTTTCCTTATGGAGGGAAAGGAGAAAGTACAGAGGAGATGAGAATCAGAAGGCATGAATTTCTGACGGTGGTATCTTTTATTGGACCAACTATGTAGCTGGGATGAAATTAGCCAAGTTTTTAATGTAAGACATTCTTCCTTGTGGATGCTAATGTAAGACAGTCTCTGCTCAGAAGAAAGAAAGTGTTGCATTCAAAAGCTTGGCTAACTTTATCTCATCTACATAGTCAGTCCAATAAGAGAGATCACCCTAAGAAATCCTTGTCTTTTGCATAATTTCTGGACCATCGTGGCTACAACATCACTCTTACACTAGAGTTTCAGTAGGGGAAGAGAAGGCTACGGGGGTAGGAAGGGTCTTTGGACTTAGAAGAGCTCTTCGGTTCCTTGCTCTCTAGATGACAGAAGAAGTGAGAGAGAAGGGGAGATGAAAGGAAACAGTGGCAAAGGCAGTTCCATGTTGTAGCGAGCTAAATGTGAGGAACAGATGAATTGAGGGGGACAACGGCCACCCAGTCAAACAACAGGTATGAATAAAACCATCTCTAAGATGGGGTCTGGGTCTGGGTGACACCTTCCTTCTTCCTATTCTACTTCTGCAAAGGCAAGGACTGTTCTGGGTGATGGAGTTTGCTCCTCTCACTGTTACTGGGGCAACCCAATGTCCTCACTGATTCCAGGGAGTGGTATGGAAAAGGGAGCCACGGTCCCGCCTGTGCTTCCTGGTGCCAGCACACATCAGAAAATACCAACTTCCCATCACTGTGGAAACCAGTTCCCTTGTGGGTTTGCTGGAAGTTAGTGGGCCATCTGCTGCATTCTGTACTACAGGATTAGACCAACAGAAAAAGGAATACATTTTTATCCACTAGTTAATTCACTCTCCCTTGCACCATTTTCATCTCTTTCTCCTCGGCCACCTGCTTTATTTTATTGCACAGAACAACTGGTCTTCTCTCTTTAACCACAGCTCCTGCTTTCCTCCCTGCTACTTGGCACACCCATTTCTAAGATCCTTCTCAGACTTTGTTCTTCAGGTTCACCTCAACTTCTTTCAGGACTTCATTGCCCCTGTAGTTCAGGAGGTTGATTGCTATACATCTGCTTTGCCCAGGAGGAGACAGAAGGCCTATTGGTGAAATCACTAGCTTAGGACTTAAAAGATCTGTTCACTTCCTTGCTCTCTGCATGATCTGGGGCTAGTCACCTAGGCCCTATAGAGTACAGGGGGAAAATTAGGTGACTTAGAATAGGATTCACTACATCCAGCCTACTGAATGGAGAGATGTCTAAATTATCCTTGGGTGGATGCATCTACACAAGATGTTTACTGTGCAGTTGAATAATTAGCTATGAAATAAATGTCTTGGTGTCTATACATGTGCCCCTATTAGGCTGGAGTAAGCTAATTTATTCTGCAGCAGAGTAGTACTTATAAATACAAGTAGTATCTTGCTGCAGAGTAAAAAACCACCACAACACCACATGTGTAGATGCTGGAGGGGCTGGCTAGGGCATTAACGCTGTGTGTGGACTAAAGTTACTCCCAAGTTAGTCCACACATACAGTGTTACTGCACAGTAAGGCATCTATACATGTGTTACTGTACAGTAACTAGTTGGGCATAAATTTGATACCTTCATGATGTAGTTATCAAATTTACACTCAAGTCGGCGTAAGTCACCATATTTACTGTGCAGTACAGGCATGCACTTGTAGACACGCTCTCGTACTGCACAGTAATTTCGGTTACTGCGCAGTAATTGTTCATGTGTAGATGCGCCCTGTGTGTAGCTTTCCCTTCTCTAAAATGGGGTGAATGATTGGTTACCTCAGAAATGGACTGCAAGGGTTCAATAGTTTTTGTGTTTGAAGATCAGAGCACTGCAAAGAATACATGCTAAATGGAAGTATGAATAGTAACAACATTGCAAGAGAAGGGTCATAATCATGTGATTTTTATATAGTGGCCAAAGCCTGCCAAGCATCTCTCAAATGGGAATATCATGTATCCTGTGTTACAGGACGGCGTGAAGCTTACTTCTTCCTAACCTACAAGGACCTTCCTCATTTCACTTCAAGCTATAGTTCTGCTCTCATTTTGTCCTTTGTTTCTCCCAGTCATCTTGCCCTACAAGCCAGTCTTGGCTTCATGTCTTCTTTCTCCTGTCCTCTGCATAAGAATTAGCCTGCTGAGTACCTCGTCTCCCCTTAAATTCGTTCTTTTAAACCTACCCATTGCTCTTCCTTAATCATTTCCACTACATTTCCCTCTAGGTTTGTCGTCTGTTTTTTTGTCTTTTTTGACTCTTAGCTCTTTGGGTCTGGGATTCTTCATGCACCAGATACATTTTCAGCAACTGTATAAGGGCAAGATTTGAATATGCTCGATCACCTCAAGTAACCCCTTACTCTTTGATAGTACCATTGACCTAGATGGGATTATCTCTCACTATTAATAATTTTGCCAGAACCTAGTCAACCGTTTTTTGTTGGGTTTTTTTTTTGTGGGGGGGGGTTGTTGGGTTTTTTGATGTTCAAACTCCTAAGATGTTGAAAAAGCTGGTGCTTATTTAAACCCAGGTCAACTTTTGAAATGTCATGAGCAATGATTTTTGCATTACTATGGGCATCTTTCTTTGAAAACTTAAAAGCTTATTTACATGAAAAAGATTAGAGTCATGGTGTTTTAAAATTCAGTGTCAAGTATTTGAAAATGACAGATCCTAGCATATAATTCTTCAGACTTTCATGAAGAAAACTTGACTTTTTAAACTTCTAGTGATTTAAAAAGCAAAACAAAACCCTCCATCATTTGAATAAATGCCCAACCCCTGAATTTCAGGAAAAATTCAAGATACAGTGGCTAAAAGCTTTAGATGTAAAGAAGGCTCAGTTCCTTTGTATGTGTGTCTAGCTGTAATTCCTAGCCCTTTTTCTTTCTCTCTCTTCTATTGTGGTATCCTTGCTCCCTGAGACAGAAGGGCAAGCAGCTCCCTCTGACACCAGCAACCATGACGCTTCATTAGTCAGCTTGTAGGAGGTAGGGCGACAGCTGTCTAGCTTTCATCCCTCTCCTGGAGACTTTAGCTTATCAGCTTGGCAACACACTGCACTTGTTTTGAGATGCTTCCTGAAGTCTTCTGTTTGGGAATTTGATGCCAAGTTGCCTCAGTAAATGTGCATCTGAGAAATTGGACAACACTGCCTCATTTTTCTTTGAGTTACTCCGAGCTCTTTTGACAGGAAGCTGATGGCTCTATAAGCTTTCTAGTCTTTTATATTTTTTTGTATTTGTTTTTTCCATCTCTGTCAGCAAATGATGAATTTAGCATTATGAATCACACTTCTCAGAAATGTATACACTCGTTCTGCTCGTGTGTGGCCTGACTCTGGTGGGTGCTGAGCATGTCCCAGTCCTCTGAGCTCTCACGGAAAGTGGCAGGCACTACACGGAACCGGGCTAATAAGAGTCTAGCTTTCATGAATGACTGTTGAGTCCTACGTTAGCTGCATTCACTGCATTTTGTTTTTATAACATTTAGCTGTATGATTTTCTTTTTCTCAGCTCCTGAAGTCTTGGCCCAGAAGCCCTACAGTAAAGCAGTGGACTGTTGGTCCATCGGGGTCATTGCTTACATTCTGTAAGTATTTATTAATTTCTTAATCATAAAACTGTTAATTTATAACATGCACCCTCCACTGGGCTGCGTAGTTCCTCCAGGCAATGGGCATTCATCTCTACTATCTGAGGACCACAGCAGTTTGAACCACAGACAGGCCCTCCACTTATGCGAAGGCTGCTGTCTCAGCTGGTTCAACTGGATTGAAGCAGGGTCCTTTAGAACTAAAAGTATGCATGCGACACAGAGGCACCAATTGTTGGCCATCCCATATGTACACAGTGTGCGTACACGTGAATTTTAATGCCCTCTTACATGCCCAGCTGCCGTCATGTACACAGATGTCAGGATGAAGTGGCTGCAGGCATTCTCTTCTTAGGGGTTTCTCAGGAGGGCCTGTAAACTTAATTCACATCTCTGTGGACTGTATCCTTTTCTGCAAGGTGAATGGGGAAAAAAACTGGCCTCTGATGACAAAGAAGGAAAAGTATGGATGAGGAAAGAGCCCTCAAGGGTGCTTTCCTAGCTCCCAATATTTTTTTTCCATTGCTAACATGACCTTTTGACTAAATTTTACATTCTTGAAAATAATGAAAATGAAAAAAATGAAAACAAACTGAAATGAAGCTATTTTTTTGGCAGCTTTTGGATTTTAGATATTAATGAAAGCATTTCAACAAAAATGAAAACTTTCTGTCAACATTTGTCATTCCATTCTTTAATCCTCCCTATGCTCAGGTCATCAGGGTGAGGTGAACTGAATATTGCATAATCTCTTTTTATTGATTGTCAGATATCGAATTCAAGGCTAAGACCTTGCTCATATAATTAAAACCTTGCTCATGTAACTGACCTTAGTGGTGCTTCAGATGACAGTAAGGATTGGTTGAATGAGGAAGGTAAGTGATACCACTGTGTTGAGCCATAGACAGTGTTGCTGCAAAGTATCCCCTTACTCCATAGGAGCTGAACATCCAGAACCAACCCTCGCATTAGTTCTACCGCATGGAACTCCAGTGTATAAGAACTGAGAATTTAAACCAATGCTTTCACCACATTTGTTGTCCTGTGTATGTTTAGGGAGCAATACCACAGTTCTGGGATGTGAACTTCCAACATCTAGCATGGCAGAGTAAGGTGCTATCCCTATTCCCAGCTAGCCCAACTTGTACATTTAGGCTAGGGACAGACATTACACATAAACCAGTTTAAATTATCAGAAACTGATTTAAACTTGTAACAGAACATAACTTCAGTGTATATAAACCAGTTTCAAAATGGCCGAAACTGGTTTAATTTGAACCTGGTTGACTGTAGTATCAGACCTGATTTGGGTCAAACCAGTTTATGCAGTGTCTGTCCCAGAACCTTTCCTAGTTTAAGTTAAACTAGAGTCTCCCAGCATCCCACATGCTTTGCAGCCTTGGGCTGGGCTGTGCTCTCTGCTTCAGAGACCAGAGATGGCCCTGTTTCTCTGCTCCCTAGCTGGAGCTCCAGCAGAGGCTGCAGGCACAGCAGGGCCCGCCTTGCTTTCCCCTGCCCCACCTACCTTCTCTGCTCAAACAGGGATCCCCCACTCCTCCCCTCCCATCTCCCACAGCATGGACCCCAGCCCCACAGACCCTAGGCATGTGGTATGCTAGCTAATGCTGAATGGTGTCTATGTGGGTGTGTCTCCAGTTTCACTGGGACAGGCAGACAGAACAGTGTCTGCTTAGGACTTTTTGGAGCTAATCAACAAGTCACTTGGTAATGTCTCTCTGTTCCTTCCTTGGAAAAAGTTGTTTAAGAAAAGCTTAACTAATGAGAAAGGCATTGTTTTGTTGTTGGTCTGATAAACACTGTGTTATCAGCCCCTTGCTAGCTCCCTCGCCTGTCAGCTTTGCAGACAGTATGAAGGTCTGAGGTATGAAGGCATAGGTATGGCAACACTCCTGCCCCTTGAGAAGCAAGTGGGAAAAATCCTGGGACAGTGCAGGCAGAGTTGGGGTTTAGACCCCTCCCTAATCAGAGTGTCCTGCTGGGGCCTGGCCATGCCCCTGCTCAGCTCAGCAGTACGGAAGGGGAGGGAGGGCTGCTCTAGCACCCCTCAGCTTCTAGCTGGAGCCACTGCAGGCATGTGCCTGCATTTCTTCAGTCCAGAGAGAATGTCTGTATAGCTGCAAACCGATTCAGCCTAGGCAGGTTAGACTAACCTGCAAAGATTGAGTCAATTCAGGCTTAGGATTTTTGAATGTCTGTCCCTAGCCCTAAGGCATGTCCACTCATGCCAATTTAAGCATTAGCCATTTTTAAGGTGCATTAAGGGCATAGGTCTATATGTGCATGCCCTTAATGCACTTTAAAAATGGTGATTTTAGGCTATGCATGCCTAAATTTGATACTCGATTTTGCAAATACCTAAAGCACCTTAACGCACGTGTAGACATGCTAAGGCACGTTAATGCTCCGTGTATCGACTGACTTGGGACTAACTTTAGCCTTAGCGCATTCACTTGTAGATACATGCCTAAATCACCTTAATGTGCATTAGGCAAATGCACATTGAATTTAGGCATGCATAAAAGCACACATAGACATGCCCATTGTGTAGATTACATTGTAAGCCCTAACATAATAGTTTTTCTGCAAAGAGGTATAGGAGGTGGTACGTGATCCTGAAAAGGATACAGCTCCAATTTCACCCCTTTTTTTGTCTTCCTTAAAGGATAGTCCATTTTCTGCCCCACAAAGTGAAAGGGGTTAGAGGTTGAGAGAGAATCTGAGAACCTATCACCTAATCTAGTTTAGCATAATCTAGTTTTGTCAACATAAATGCACATATAACACAACGGGGCACCAATGGGTGCTGTTGAAAGCTGCCCTGGGTGCCTGAGCATATGACATTAACCTTAAGTAGCAGGCCCATAGGGAAGAGAAGGGACCTACTACTCGTATTATTTGAGGGAGATTAGCGTAAGTGGTGGGTGTCTGTTTTATTGGAGCATAAGCATTCTAGGAGCAGCAACCTTTGTGTGTATGTGATTTAAATAATAACCAAGGATGTTGTCTGTAGCATTAAATTGTTTACATCAGCTGGCATTGTACCGCATCAGAGCCTTTGAAATGCATTTAAGCTGCTGCTGTTGAAGCTGCTCAGATTGACCAAAGGGGCATAGCAAACATGACAAACTTATTTTCTTTGTATAGAGAAGTGGGGAATGGCCTTGCTGCTATCAACTGTAACAAAAAACAAAGTAATATCTTGTGATGTTTATACTTACAGTGGGTTTTACCTTTTTTTTTTCTTTTTACCCAACTGCCGGTTCTACAAGACTTCAGCAAAAACCCCAAAAAACTCCGCTGCTACAGCATCAAATTGTTCCTACTTTGTTCCTTTTCCCTTTGTGCAAACATTTTATGGCCTGTCAACATGAGTAACTTTTTCATGATGCAGTACAGCTATTTTTGTCAGCACAGTGTCTAACTGCTGTATAATCCATTGCTGTGTAATGTTCGTTATTTGTCTGTCACCTGTATTTATTTTACTCTTGAGCATAAATTTTAGGGGGTGTTTTCCCCAATGCCACCCAAACGACTTTATTTTGTTTTAAAGGAGTACTGGAGTTCCAGTTTTTAAACAGTAACCCCCTCTCACCCCAGTAACGTCAAATTTATGAGTACTTTGCCACCCTGCATGAATGTCAGCAAAGTTCTCATCCAAAAACCTTGCAGGGGGCTGGATTACCCTTGGGGCAATCTTTAACAGTAGCAAGAGGCAAATGAATTTTGCATGTAGAATCAAATTCAGCAGCGCTATGTAAGACATTAGATCAGTTCCTGGCAAGAGCACTGGGAGAGTGGGAGCAGAGCCTTTGCAGAGCAGGGTGGACATCATCAAAAGGCTGCCGGGTTTATGTAGGAATAAATTTGACGAAGAATGCTTTGCATTTGAAAGCTCATCTAAGTCTCTCTCAACCATGCAGTTGGTCTAATAAAAGCTATCACCCACACAAATCCTTCCGCTTACAGGAATCACGTCACTTTCTGATGTTCCTTGAAAAAGGAATAGTTTTACACCTGCAAACATGGGTCCACAACATATTGCTGAATGAAGCAGTCCTTCTCGTGTGCTTTCTTTAAGGTCTGAGTCTTTCACTTACTAGCAGAGGGGTAGTCTGCCGAGGTTGCTCCTACTCATTTCTAAGTCAAGTCCTCCATCCTGCCTGACCTAAGTGTGAAACTTCATAATGGCCCTGTGTCACAAGCAGCTCATAAACTTCCTCATGCTAGATGGTAGGAAACTCAGTTTCCTTGGAGAACAGTTTTTTTCCCATGCCCAGGCTTGTCCACTGCTAGCTTCCCCGTCTATGTTAGAGTTCACTGTTGAGCGTTCAGTATGGAAACCTTCAACTGTCCATCGAATTGCACAGTAGTGGGGCTGGTTGTAGCTGCCTGATTGTGCAGAGGTAAAATGATTCATCTCTATTCAGCCATGGCACATCCACCAGAATGTTTTTTTCCAGTGGTGACGTCCATGTTTTGCTAGTGGGTTTTACGCTACGAGATACCTCAGAAGATAGTCTGTTTTATTATTAGCTGTATCTGAAGGCAGGAGCCCAGCTGGTGGAGACTGAACCACAATGTGCCCTCTAGCCTTGGATAATGAATACATCCTCCCAGTGATCTGTGTATATCTGTTGGATGGAAGGTTTCAATTCTGCCCTTGAGACATGACTCAAACAGTGTTATCAACTCTCTTCCTACATTAGCAAAGCTACATTTTCTGCCAGCCCCAGTTCAGCAGTATTTCCTTTTGTTTTCAAAGTCAGTTAGTGGTTTAGCTTTACAAGCAAGAGGCTTACACAGCCCTCAGGCCTTAAAACACCATTGGCCCTCCTGGGAATCCTCTGCCCTTTAGGGTAAAATCCATTTAATAACAGTAAGTTCCTATAAAAAGACCACTTCCTCCTAGCAAGACAAGTGGTATCTAAAAACTACCTATAGTTGTTTGTAGGTAGCTAATGGAGCTAGCCTGTGTA